GTCACAGTAAGAAATAATAAAGCCGAAATGAAAATAGTAGATCCTGTTGTGTAAAATAGTGATTATTTTTATGTATTGAAGGTCCATTACTAATAAGGAATGATGAAGAGAATGCAATACGTAAGACACAAGTGTGTGGGATGAAATGGAGAATGACTACACAGATTCTATATGATTAGAAGATACCTATTAATAGAGAAGATCTATAAAACAGCTATAGGAAAACATACTTTATAATGCTGAGTATAGGATGGCTAATTGATCAAATATCTCCAAATGAGGGTGTTAAGAATGATGAATGACAAACTAGAACGGATAAGATTAGAAATGAGAATATAACAAATGGAGGAACATAAACGAAGTGTTGAATCGAATTCTTTTTTGGTGTCAAGGCAATAGCTATGAGTAATTATTGACTTTTGGAAAAGGATAGATGGGTAGGACCTACCGTAGAGATACATGCATCATAGATGTATCATCATTATGTTTTAACCAGGTTATTCTATTCAGCTATAGAAAGAAAATAATGTAAATCAAATTACATAATACCATGGTGATACGCTTATACAAAACTTGTACCCCAAGCACATGCAATGGTGACGAATCAAAATGATTTAAAGACGAACGACTTAGATGAATGGGGTATGTCTTACTTAAACCTAAAAGACTAGAGTGACAAAAATCTCACAAGAACAAGTTGGAGCAGGGAGTGGTTGACCAAGATTAACATTGTGCGAGCTGATTGTCAAAGATTAGATTTGATTTGAGTAAGAACAGATAGTCCAATATTGAATGGAGTGACAAAGGTTTCATGTGGCTGATTGTTGTTAAACATAGACCTACCTCTTTAACAGTTTACATAATACAACCTGGATTTTCCATAAGAGTTCACTTATTTCTGTGAACTGCATTTTAATGTTTTACTGTATTTTAGTATACTCTAGTGGCTTGTTCCTTGATTTAATTAGGTTTAAAGTTTGAAGACCACAATCATGGGGACAGGGTTTTTTTCTATTTTCAGAACTTTTATATGCGATCGTTCAGGAATTTCTCCACTGCAGCATCTATATCTGTGAAAAATACAGAAGATTTAAAGCTTCTTGTAACTGCTGGGCCCCATGCTCAGAAAGCTGTTGGTATTTGGCTTTTTGTATCTGC